TCGTGTCAGTTCTTCCATCGGTTATTTTCTTATTCTAAGATCTACAGCTCCAGATATAACCCAATTACCGAACAGTGTTCCTGTTTAGATTGCACCAACATCTCTTTTCTAAATTTGGCCATCTCTTTGTCCTTTCAATTTCAGTTCTTAAATTCATCAATCAATCCTTTCATTTATGTGATAGACCTGCATTTAAAATGAATATTTACCACAAATTAAAGGTATCTTATATTATTAGATATATTATTATAAAACATGATTTAGTTAAGGAGTTATTGATACTTCAAGTGCAAAATGATGATATAAAACCTTGATAAAAAATATACTTTTAAGTACTAATCACGAGTTCAATGTGGATTTTTTTTTTCTAATTGAAGAAAGCTTGGACTATTATTGGTCTAGACACTGGTATGATTCAGGTTAACAGGTGCCTTTTATATAGGGGTGGTAATAAAGATGATCATTTTTTTTTATTGTCCTTTCTCTTAGCGCATCTAGTATGATATTTTCTCTAAACGCCTTATTCTTTTCAGACATCAATCTTAGGTCGGTATGGTTGCATGGCTTTCTCTTTTACATCTTTGATAGTCAAATTGATATTAGCTACTGCAATATACTACTATATTTGGAGAGAAAGGAATGTTCGGCTTTATGGTAAGGCTTCTTATAATGTTTTGGTTATTTACTGTGATGTCATTAAGTGTAATATATCTAAAGTTAATCCTTTTCGTAACATGGTCTCCTCAAATACCAATAGAAGGCTTCATATTTTGTGGGATTTTTTTAATGATATTTCTAGTTGATTTATTTCTACTTTAGGTTTTAAGGCATGTCCCTTTAGCCTTCCTCGAATCTATGCCCCTTTTCTTTCATGTTTTTGTTTTTTTTAAGGTTAGGTAGGTTTTGTTTGCCTATCCGAGCTTTATGGGCCTTACCTTATGCTTTGTTTTGTTCCTTTTTTATTATTACACTTACTTTATAAAAAAAATGAGGTTAATTTGCATTTGTTTGGCTTCCTCGTATCAAAACACATTAGAATTAAATGTTCCTCGTATCAAAACACATTAGAATTAAATCAAATTGAAATTTTGGTTATTTGGTGTAAAATCACCCAAAATACCAAATTTCAGGTCATTTGGTTTAAGGTCTAGATTTGGGTCTAAAGGGGTTTGTTAGATTCATCAATTGAAAGGCCCTATAATTTTAGGTTGGTGCCATTGAAATCAGTGCATTCGGTTATTTTAGGTTGGTTACTACGCCAACAATATCTCTATTTGCTTTCAGTCATATCTAATCCAAAAGGCCAAATTGTAATTTGGGTCTAAATTAATATTTTTCTTATCTTAAACTAATCTTGACATTATCTTTGCGAACACAATCAATGTAGATTTTTTAGCATTAAAAATACTTGTAATTGAAGAATGGGTGACATGACATTGTGTGGTTCAAGAATGTTGTTCCAAGACATTCATTTCTTCTATGGGTGGCTGTCCAATAGAAACTCACAACTCAAGATAGACTTCATCGATTTGGTATACATGGTCCCAATAGGTGCTCACTCTGTCTCCGCAACAACGAAGATCACAACCACTTGTTCTTTGAATGCTCCTATACTAAAGCGATCTGATGGGTGTTTATGACAGATGCAACATTCCAAGAATGACAAAAGGATGGGATGAATGGATTCGATGGGCCACTGTCACTTGGCATGGCAAAAGTTTTGTCAATTTTTCTTGTAAACTGAGTTTCGCAGCTACAGTGTATCATATCTGGCAAGAATGGAATGCAAGGACGTTTGCAGGAATCTCTAGAACTCAGAATTTGGTCTTTGATCAAATCGAATGTATCATCCGTGATAAGCTTGATTTGATGAGGAACGTTCTACCAACAGATGAAAACAAAAGGATCCAGAGAGCTTGAAGGGTCAATAACTAGACTTTTCATTTGATATTTAGCTGATTGTATTGGTTTCCCTAATGAATCTAGTTAGGTCTGAGTTTTCTATTCGGTGGCTAGCATGTAGTCATCTGTTGTTTTATGTTTCTGTTCTCATTGTAAATCTGGGGTATGCCCCTTATAATCTTTGTATCTTTTTCTTTTAATACATACGTCAACTTACTAAAAAAAAATACTTGTAATTGAAGGCCTTGACAAGAGTATAAACATGTAAGGGGGTGAGTGCGGAAATATATTTTCTTTACCACTAACTAGTTTTATGGATTTTAGGATGTCAAAGTTAATTAATATAGCATAACCAACATTGCTTTTTAGTTACAATTTACTGCACAACAGTTGATAGGGTTCAGTTTAGTGATGGGTGATATACATAATAAGATGGAAAATATTGAAGGGACTTGCTAATGAAAATGGTGGAGTTTGACATAGGGTTGATCAGAGAGAATTCAATATGATTAAGAAAGATAAACTAAAGTTAGGAGTTTCATATATTTATGATCATAATGCTTCTACGATGTTAGACAAAAAACATGAAGCTGAATAAATTGCAAAGTTTTATAAAGAAACAAATAGAGAACATGAAAAATAGAGGAATTTAGTTCAACGTTGAAATGATAAAAAAAAATAAAAAAGAGCATAGATAATTATCATTAAAAATATATATATATAAGTGGATGACAAGACATGCTTATTTGAAATTATTATCGGCTATAACATTCATACAATGTTGTTAGAAGCATCTGCAGGCAAGAAAAGAACTCCAAAAAATTCAACAAGAGGCTAAATAATTATCCATTATACATATTGATGATTCAAATTGATGATTCAAGGATGAATCATCTTGAAAAGAGAGGAAATGATACAATTCAAGAAAGGCTGGATTCACGTTTTGGTTTGAAAGTTTCTATTGTCTAGTTTTATACTACCAAGCATAACTTTCAACTTAATCATTAGATCAGGCTGAAATATTTACAATAGTTTATAGACATGCTTTTCTACATTAGACTAAGATTTTAGATCAATTATAGTTAGATAAGGGCTTATTTTAAAGGGTTGAATTTACTGAATGAATCTTGTCAAGTATCTTTATTTAGACCTTCATTTACCTTTTGGACTATATCTAGAGTTACATAATAAATTATGCTAAGTGATTAGTACTTAAAAGTGCATTTTTATCATGGTTTTATATCATCATTTTGCACTTGAA